GCCGGCCCTGCCTGAAGGTTTTTGAGGAGTTTTTTTGTTTTTGTTTTTGTTTTTTTTTGTTTTTTTTTGCAGAAACGGGGATTGAACTCAGGCCCTTGCGCTTGCCAGGGAAGCGCTTATTCTGCTGAGCCATCTCCCCGGCCCCTGAACGTTTTTTATTGCTGTGTTGGTTTTAAGATTTCTGAGACTTTGTAGTTCAAGTTGGCCTTGAATTTATTAGCCCAGGCTGGCCTTGAACTCACTGCAATCCTCCCGCCTCAGCCTTTCACCTGTTGGGAGCACAGCTGTACACCACGACAGCCAGCTGTTTATATTAATGTGCCCCCTCACAGCACCTGCACAAGGCAGCGGCTCTTACCCCCCACCCTGTATGGGGATGGAGGCCAGGCCCACGCCAGCACACAGCAGCACCTTCCAGCAGCAAGGAGACTCGCCACTTCCTTTTGCCCTACCCAGGACAGAGAAGTCAGGAAAGTTGTTCAGGGTCACATAACTCCTATGACAGAGCTGTCCCCAGCTCCAGAGCCCATGATCCTAACCACCAAGCAGTACGCCATGTCATTAGCCTGAGGCCAGGCAAATGACACAGTGACACAGAGCTGTGGGAGCTGCAGGTGGGGGGGCTCTGGAGCAGAGCCAGTGGGGGCTGGGCAGAGTCCAGGGCTCTCTGGGGGGTGGAGGGATGGGCGGCCTGGGCACAGAGGGACAGGAGCCTCACTGAGGTTCGGCCTTTCACCACGTGGGAACCTGGCCAGCGGCCAGGCTGGGGGGCTGCAGGCACAGTGCTCCGGGTCCCCTGTCTTCTTTTCTGAATTTTGGCTCCCAGCCTTGCCACAGTGACGCTGTGGCGTGATGGTTTCCTCGCTGGGCGCCCGCGACAGGCTGCTTTATTAATTCCCCGCATCGCTCCAGGGAGCACTGGAGGCGCTTTCCAAAACCGCCCTGGAGACTTGGTCCCCAGCCTCTGCAAGAGCAGAAGGCGTCTCTGTCGGGCAACCACATGGCCTTTGGGCCTAGCGCAGTGCCTGGCACAGGGCCACGCTTGCAGATCTGGACCATCTGAATGGACAAAGGGTAGCAAATGATTGCCGAGGGTCTCAGCAAGAGGGAGAAGTCGAGCTGGGAGCCTATCAAGGCCGGAAGAGGCCCAGCAAGGGCTCCGGCGCCCGCGATATGTGCTGCACAGGAGCAGGCAAACCTCCCAGTGCTTCTGGCCACCCAGCAAGAGTGGGACATAGACAGAAAGGACCTCAAAGGGCTCCATCAGTAGAGCACTGGCCTTGGCACAGACCACGTGGAACGTCGTCAAGCCGTAGCAAAGAATAAGAAGGCTTTTGTTCCCTGTACTCGGGATTGAAACCAGGGCCAGTGCACTGAGCGACATCTGCAGTCCTTTGTTTTGTTTTGTTTTGTTTTTAATTTTGAGACAAAATCTTGCTGAATTGCCCGGGCTGACCTTGCACTTGCAGTCCTCCTGCGTCAGCCTCCGCAGCAGCTCGGATCACAGGAGATACCCTCAAGGCTGGCCTGAGGGGTCTCTCCCTATTGCTGCAGAATGATATTTTGGATAGCTTGTTCAATTTAAAATGCAAAGTACCGGACCCGGGAGATGGCTCAGTGGAATAAGCGCTTGCCTGGCAAGTGCAAGGGTCTGAGTTCAATCCCCAGTTCTGCCAAAAAAAAAAAGCAAAGTACACTTAAGCTCCAGTGGTGCAATCGGTTAGCGCGCGGTACTTATATAAAATGCAAAGTACAAGCTGGGGGTATAGCTCAGCAGGCATAGTGCCTGCCTGGCAAGAACAAGTTCCTCAGTTCAGTTCCAGGTACCAAAATAAAAAAGCAAAGTACATAGGGGCTGGGGAGAAGGCGCAGTAGAATAAGCGCTTGCCTGG